CGGCCGGGCCGGTTCATGTTTTGAGGGGCCCGAGCCCGGACCGGAACCCCATTGGGTCGGGCCTACCCGAACCGGTCACTGACCGGGCGACCGGGCCGGAACAGTGTCGGTTTGGGCCGGTTCCAGGTCGGGCCACCCGGCCCGAGTCCAACCCTAACGGCGACGATGGCGACGATGTGCTCGAACCCCAGCTACGGCAGTTGTCGGGAAACAGGTTACATTTAACCGGGAAACCGGTTACTTACCGACCGAAAGGGCTTAATTGAACGTTTTTTAATAGTTCGAGGACTTAATTGAGTGTTTGTAAAGTACAAGGGCCTAATCGACTTTTTCGGTATAGTACGGGGGCTTATTTGATAGTTTTCCAAAAAAAAAAATCCCAAAATTTACTTGATGAAATTCTAAAAAAAAATGAAAATCTAAAACTACATTTTACTTGGTAATCAAATAATGGGCCTATATGGCTATATCCGAATTAAGTCATTAACTCATACTCCGAATTGGGTACTTGCACTAGTGTATTTCAAGATTGTAGTTGTTTGACTTATTTCTCATTTTAAATTAATGACTTATTGACTACTTTTATATTTCTAGATGCACTAGTGTATATGAGAAATATTATGAATTTATTACTAAGTATCTTGAAAAAGGAAAATGCTTCAATGCAATGAATGGGTAGACATCATAGGACATTATGTGTGTGTGTGTGTGTGTGTGTGTGTGTATAGGGGTTAGTTCCCGTGAGAACACCCTCTTAGGAGAGTAAAAAAGAACATATCTTGATCATTAATAATCTTTATCCAACGAACTAATTTTAACTAAAAACATCACATGAGCTGCACGTGCTAGGATTTAATTTTGAATCATACGGACTACAATAATGGATAAAGGATATTTAGGTAAAAGACTTCAAATTAATTGAGATGCATGACTTGCACACGTACGTATATGGCTGGGACGGTATGCTCCAAATTTGGATAGTAATTAATGCAAAATAACTCCCACTCACAATTAAAATCATTTGTTCTATATATAAAGCTTTATCTTATTTAAATTTATTTGGAAATTTGAAATTCTCTCACATTTTGTTGACTTATTTTAAAATCCTTTTCTTTCGGGTGCAATATTTCGTGGCTTGTTCATTTGCAATCCAATATTAAATAAGTGCACTTTTATTCAAATCTATGCACAAATAATTCAATTGAATGTTTATTTCGTTTTCTAAAATAAATAATACATCATAGTTCTAATTTTAACCTGCACTTTTTATGATCTGCATTTTACTCCTTTTAGTTGTGCACTTTCATATATTTTTAAATAAAATGAAAATAAATATGCACGAGTGTAAACTAACAATAATCATGTGCATTTTAATATAAATGAAAGTGCATTATTTTATCACACTTTGAAAAAATTACGTTGGCACTTTCTAACAAAATAAAATGCACTTTAATCATGTGCATTTAACATATATTCAAAAGTGTATGAATAAAGTATAACAAGTGCATCAAAGTTCAACAATATATTTGACAAAGTAGGGGTCAAAAGTGCGTGAAAGTAGTCGTGCTAGTGCACTAATGGAGAAATGAACAACAAAAAATGCATTAATATTTAAGAAGACCTCAATTAATTGAATCATCAAGGCATCAAGAATGAAGATAGATTTTAATTAAGTGCTTCAGTAACAGCACAATATAGATAAATTTAAATAATCAAAAAAGTGAATTCAACCATCTATACTTACGTGTGTGCAAAAATATACACATTTTTGTTCACATTTTTTATTAAAAATTTGTTACAAAAACAATTCTGAATGCCTACAATAAAATTACTAAGAATAATATAATATTCATAGACATGATTGATGAAGACATAGACATGTACGTAAAATATAAAAAAGAAAAGAAGAAGAAGAATGGAATTAAATGATTGAATGAGACATTCAAGGAAAGTTAATATTTTATTTTGCGGATGATGTGGGTAACGGTTTTAGAGATCACCATATATATGGAATTGGAGGGAAAAAATGACATTAATAACCTTCTGGAAGATCAATCACACGCAAGAATTAAAAGATGAACCAATGGTTGATATCTATTCTTTTTTACTCTCCTAAGGTTAAGTTCTCACATGAACCTAAATATATATATATATATATATATATATATATATATATATATATATATATATATATATATATATATATATATATATATATATGTATAGGGGTGAGATCACATACTAACCATTCCTCCCATGCTAACCTACAAACTATCAAAAACGGTGCATCTTTACATTATTTGTACTGCATATTGAAGTTCAAAGTGTTGCATATTATTTGTACTGCATATTAAAGTTCAAAGTTTTGCATATTGTTTTTATTGCATATTGAAATTCACAGTGTGCATCTTTACATTATTTGTACTGCATATTGAAGTTCAATGTGTTGCATATTATTGAGTTAGTAAGTTAGTATTTTAAGCATGGTTAGTATGTGATCTCTTATCTATATATATATATATATATATATATATATATTAAAAAAAAATCTATTTTTAATATTTATAAATAGACCTCTATAACTTTTAATATTTGTAAATACACCCCTATATCCGTATCCTACTTTTTTTGGTTTTGACGTATCCCCGTACCCGTTTCCCGCGTTTCCGCGTTTCCACGTACCGGTATCGGTGCTACATAGTATGGAACTATGGAAGTGGAAACACATTTTATGGATGACTCACTATGAACCACCACCTCACACACACAAGCTTGTATTAGTTGTATAAGCTTCACAGAGCTTAATAAGTGAGACTTGCTATTTTCAGCTCAAAAGTTGTCACTTTTTAAATTTGAATTGACGAGTAAAAACCTTGAGCGCTTTGGAAGGTGTACTTTTCCATTAGTAAGTGAGACACGCCGTTTTCACCTCAAAAGCAATATTTCTTGGGGGTAAAACCGTAAAAGCTGTCACTTTTTAAATTGTGAGTGAAAAGCTTGAACACTCTGAAAAGGTATAGTTAAAAAAAGATGACACCCCATCCCTGAGGGCCCCCAACACGGACCAGACGGCACGATGGGAGGATGTAAATTGGACTATAATCACAATCTGACAGATAGAGAGTGGGGTTCCGTCCCCGGTACTTGTAGAGGCCCTCTTTTTTAGTAACCGCTCATCGCAGTTGCCGAGAGTCGGACTCGGGACCTAACCCTTGTGACCTAACTCGGGACTTGAAAAGGTATAGTTAAACAGTACTAATGGTTCAAGTCTTAAAGGTTTATAAGTGGGATATACGGTCATTTGGTCAATGCAAGTGCTCACTACACTAATGTTCCAAAAAGGTTGAATCCCTCACGCTCCAATGCAACAAGGTATTTGGAAGTAGGGATGGACTGGTCCCGGGTCAGGTCCGAATTGGGCTCAGGGCGGGACCGGGTTTGGGAAATGGAGGCCCGGTACCGGCCGGCTATGTTCCGGGACCGGGTCGGGCAAGGTATTTTGATTTTTGCTTATTAATTCTAACCCCCCACCCACCCCCACCCCCAAACACCCCCAAACCACCCAGCCCAACTTACCCAAACCATTAGAAAAATCCAAAAAAAGAGCCCATACTGGTCCCGGACCGGCCGGGCCGGTTCCAAGAGAGCTGCAGCCCAAGCCCGCCCCCCAAAACACCCCTGGGTCGGGTCCTAGGCCCGGTCCCGATCTACAGGGCCGGTTCGGTACCGCACAGTGGCGGTCCGGTCCGACCGATCCATCACTAGTTGGAAGTGCCCACTATAGTAATGTGTGTACTTGCTTGTGCTCTTGGTATAAGAGGAAAAGAAGAGGAAAAATGGAATGCTAAAAAGACAACATAAAAGAGAGGTGAAAGCTTGAAGAACTGTTTAAGATTTATGTCAGTTTTTTGGGACGAAAATTCGTATGTCTCACTTAATATGTTTTTACCACTTTTAAGTTTTTTTTTTTTTAAAAACCACTATTATGTTTATTGTTAGTTCAAATTTATATTTTCAAAAACTATAGTACATGTTTTTATGTTTTGATAATTTGGAAACCCAAAGTTAATTGTGATAACATTTTATATTATTAGGGGGAGAAAAAAGAGTTGGGCTAATCGTTCATTGTGCATAATTGAAAGGAAAATTTAAATGGAAACGAGGAATACTTGCCAAGGAAAGATAACTTCGATATATTTGATCAAAATAAAAATGCTTCCTTTTGGGTTATAGACCTATCTTTTTGTATGTCACACTTTGTTTTTTTGCTTCAATTATTACAATCCATTATTTATATTCCTTGCATCTTCAATAGTTCTATACTCTTTAACTTAACATGGGTCAAATGCTGCTACAAATGACACCGAGTTGCCTCCCAAGACCTTGTTATGCACGGAGTATTTCATTGTGTGACATGTATTGTGATCATATTCACATGTATGATTCCAATTGTACCACGTTTAAGAAAAATGTAGTACACGCCGCTATGAGATACAGTGAATAATAAGACTCCTACTTTTGGGAAGCAGGCCCCTTTTAAAATAAAAATCATACTGCATACGCTGAAGGATGATTGATCTCCATCATTGTTTTAAATCCATTTGATGTATGGGTGAACAATTTCCAGTTCTGATATCAGACCAGATCTAATAGGTTGAGTGAAATAATTAACCACTTGTTCTGTTCCGTGTTCCAACCAATTCCTCCAAAATAGAATCATAACATGAACTTATTTTACTTGAAAGGTTTTGACTCCACTCTTACTGAGAATTGAACCCAAATTAGCACAAGTCCAGCTCATTGAAGTTCTCACGTTTAAATTTATATATGTACTAGTATGTCTTTAGTTACTATATTTCACCTAAATGGCTAAATCATATTATATATCTCTACGACTCTACGCATTTGCGTATGAAAGGAACAAAATATAGTGATTTGCCCATGAATGTTGCTAATCGATGCACAAGACAATTTCACTGAATGGATGATGAATGTATTTTTGTATTCTTGTATTTGACGCTATAAATGAGTTTTTATTTGATCACACACATTAATGGACTGTTTTTAAACATAATTTAAAAAACAATCCGTGTATTTCTAGAGACTGATGCATTATACGAAGTAACTAATTCATGATATTAGCTTTTGCAACTTAAACGGTATCAAATTATACTTCGTGCGGTATTTGTAAGAATCTCTGCGTCTATGTCGAGCATCATGATTGTACAATATTGACTCATACTTTATCACTGGGACTCAGAGCCAAATCATACCCTTTCCCTCTGCAATCTTATATAGTTAAGAGACTGCTTAAAGGGTTTCTCCAATCTGTATATCAGATCTTCATGCAAAATACCCCTTACATTTTTCCATTCTTGATAACATCACCATCACAACATTATATATAGTCTTTGGTGTTCATTCTGTGATGGCAAAACAGAGCTTGGCCTCATCCCAGGGACCGTTAATCTCAAACTTGTACTCTTGAAGTCGTATCAGCCAAAATGGGCAGACCAAATTGACAAAGACAAACACAGCTAACAACAAAATAAAGAGCAGTGTGTGCAACCAGTAAAGGAGAACTAAGGACAAGACCATTAACCCGAAAGAGAGGAAAAGGTGCAATTTGAATGAGAACTTCTTCACACAGTAGGTGACAAATGGGGCAAATAGAAAAACTTGCAAGGAGAACAACACAATGGCAAATACATGAAGCCTTGATGGAAGGCGAGAGGCAATTAGAAGTGAAGCCACTATAGAAGCATTCAAAGAGATGTTGCTCATAAGGGTTGGGTTTTCTTGACTTCCAGGAGCTTTTACAGTTGATCCCGAGTAATTATGCAGGAAGAGGTTTATAATGAGGAGACAAGCTGTTAGTGCCCATATAGAATCTGAGGCTATGGATCGGGTGAGTGTATGGAAGATAGGAGACAACATGTATAACCCAGTCATGAAAAATGAAATCTTGAGGGTATAACTGAGAAGAATATTAAAGGAGATTGAGTCTGCAGTCAAGAGAAGAATGAAAAAACCCAACCCAAGAAGGCTAACATTTAGAACTAAAAGTGAATTTTCATTCAAGGTAGATCGAAGTGTATAGGTCCAAACCAAAACCACAAGACAAACAGTGGAAATATACTGAGAAATGGAAACTGAATCAAGGATCACCTTTAGCAAGTCTCTTTTGACCACATTGGCGTTCATAATCATATCTTCTAGGAAAGATTCATCTGTATGATTGTCATCAAAACCAGGTTGCATCCCCCCATAAGCAACTTTCCTCCATTTAGGTTTTGTTGGAGAAGAGTTTTCACTCATTGTACTTTCCATCTATGTCATATAACTTGAGAAGAGAACATCTGTAAGCCATCTTAGGAAGACTTCAGCAGTGAAGGACGCAACAACATTTTAATCATAATGCCACCATTCACCAATGCATATCTTCTTCACAGCTGCACTGGTTATAATGGTTTTACTAAATCAGGTACAACTTTACGGAATCAACTATTTACGCAAAGTCAGGTACATTTCATCTAAGCATTTCACCGAACTTACAGGCCAAAAGAAGGAATTTAAAAACTAATACACATAGTTTTCATGCTTGTGCTGATATTGAGGATGTTTTAAGGCATGCTATAAACTCTGGATTTCACACCGAGAGACAAATCTATCTAGAGCACAAAGCACAAAGTCTATCTAAGGCATGCTGAGTCAAGTGTCTCGTTGTCGCAATAAGCAACAATTGTAGACAAACTATATATGGTGCAAATTAAAGGCGGAAACACTGCATAATCTTAGAAGTCATAGCAGCAAGCCATCGATGTGGCTGGTCTAATAATTGTATTTTGGTTGTTCAAAATTACTTTAAAATTAAAATATTCACAATAATCCTGGGTGATGCAATAATTCCACAATTGTATCTTTATCAAAAAAGAATCAGAGTACACATTTTCTTAAACAAGAGTACAATGTAAACAGTACACATTAATAACTAATTTGATAGATCAAACTTCAAAGTACAACTTTCTTAAACAAGACAACAAAAGCTAGCTAATAATTAATCAGTGTCATCAGATTACAAATTTGCAAATTAACATAGAAAATTGAAATTACCTTCTTGAAAAGATCAAGTGAAAAATTATAAACTGAGAAAGGTGAGAAATTAAGCAGATGAAAACTGGAAATCTCAGACAGCTTACCTCGATTCATTCGTCGGTTAGAAGGCGGAGCGGACAAGCAGCGGCAGTGGCGGCGAGGTGCGAAAGTGTGACAAAGCGAGGCTGCCGAGTGCCGACTGGCGAGCAGGCGAAGCGGAGCCGGACTTCAGAAAATCACTGATTCAGAAAATACCCATATCACAAACACAGCCCATATTTCGGTTCATAGAAAATTATAAGCCCAACCGAACCAATTAATACGGATTAGGGGAATTCTATTTGCAAACCACTAATTGCTAGATACAGCCACGTTATTTTAAAATTCCTATTATACCCTCTTTATTATCTGCGCATGTCACACCTCGTTCTGCATTATCCCCTTCCAGATTGCCTCTTCTTTCCTCGGGCACGAGTCACCTGTCGGCTATCACCCTAGTTTGCACACACACAAACACCATTTTACCGATCTTGAAGAATATTATCCAAAACACATGTAATATTCAATTGCTTTTGAATAGATCCTTTAAGCAGGTCAAAAGCTAGCTTCCATCGGTTCTAATCAAAGTGGAAATTTTCAAATCAATTCAAGACACTTAGATCCTTTATAAAATTAGAGATTAGATGTTGAAATATTCATTCCCCTAAGTTAATTACTCCACGCTTAAAGAACTGTCCATAGCCCAAGAGGTTTCATCCCCTTTCCAGAAGTCGAAGCTAATCAGCCGAGGGATTTGAATTCGTGAAAGATATGGAAGCTGCCATGGTTTTCAGACTATCCGCACCATGTTTACTTCTTTCAATCATTCATACTGTTCTACGGAATTTCATGCTCACAGATGTCCTTTGAGAAATTTGTGTGAAGGGGTTTTGTTTGTTTGTGTGATCTTGCAGTGGTTTCGTAGAAGAAAAAAATGATCGGGGCCGGAGGGACTTTCATTATTTTGGTTGTGTTTAAGGTATTTTGGATATCTCCATTTTATTTATTTATTAATATTTAAATTTGTGGCTATGAATAACAATTTGGGGGCTGTATATAGAACTACCCCCAATTTGATGGGGGGCACATGCCCCCAATAAAGTCGTGAGTTTTAGCCTAAATAAATTGTACATTAGTGCTATTTACTTTTGTGCCCCCAATAAGAATAAAATAATGCCCCCATTAACTTTTATGAACACCAGACCATATTGTTTATATTTAGAAGATGAAAACCCACTTTTATTTTGTTTTGAACCCAATCAAAGAAATGATATGTACAATATATTATTTTCCCATTGTTAATTGTATTTTTGCCTGGCCTTATGATATTTAAGTCATAAGATTATGTTTATAGTGGCCTGGTATCATTTATGAAGTGAGGCTCCAAAGTGATTAAATAGGTGATTCGTTCTTTTATTAGGTGATTAATTAATGGTTAAAAATTGACCCAATCCTCTTTTTTTTCTCTCTTTTTTGAAAGAAGTAAATTTCTTTTTCTTTCTTAAATAGGTTATTACGTATAAATCACAAGGCTTTTTATTTCAGTTTTATGGTTTGTGCCCATCTATATATAATAATAGTTTTTTTGGGTCTTGGACATTAAAGATTTAAAATTTGTATTTTATTTCCTTTTTTCGTTAATGATTAATTTAATTTGAAATTGAAAGTTACAACTTCAGTAGCATAAACTAGCTACTTTTATACGCAGTATATAAGATAACTTTAAAAAATATCTTTGCATGCATGAATATATTTAATTGCAATATAAAACTTATAACAAGTACTATTTGAAAACTATAAATTAGTAGTATTTCTACTCTTTAATCATTTTAAAAAATTGGCATTACGGAAAAAATTTGACAAATCAATAACATAATGTGTGAGTGATAGTGTTTGGGGACCAAAATATATAAAGAGTCCGCTTGGTAACATTAGAATTGGTTGAATTGGTTTATTCTGCTGAAATTTATGATGTTCTGGCTGAAGTGGCTGTGTTGGCTAATTCTGCTGATTATGAGAAAAAAATTAAAAATATTTGTTATTAATAAATAAAATAAAAATTATATGAAATAATATCTAAAAATGAATCTCTACAGTAACTTCAGCTTATACAACCAGAAAAACAACTTCAACCTTACTTTTTCGTATTATTACACAATTCAGCGCGCGAAATCAAAAGTTATGTGTTTGGTGACAAAACTGACTGACAAGTCTGATAAGCTGGAAAAAAGGTCACCAAACAGGCAAAAGTTCTCTTACTATCAATATTAATACTCCGTATATTGGTTGTAGCATGTTTGAAATTCGATGAAATATTGATATTTTGTCTCATATATATCAAATGAATCGAATAGTTTTTTTTTAAACCAACCACCACATTGAAAGTAAGCTCTCATTCAATCAAAACATGCCCCAATAACTTTTTATCCTGGATCCGCCACGGAGTGTAGTCGAGGTAGAAATGCGATGTTATTTAACTTCCTCCAATCATGGTGAACGTGTCTTTGATCTATGGTACTTTTAAATTAAAACAGGTCATCCATACAACATGAACATTGCATAACATTATCCATCATAATTTTCATTTTGAAACATTGTTAAGAACCCTTTTCATTTTAATCAATGCACTTAAAATTTAGTTTCGTACCTTTCAAAACAAACTTGCTCTTCTGTGAAGCGCCAAGAACCCGTGCAGCCTAAAATAAAGCATTTTTAAGAAATCAAAATAACACCTTGGTAGACCAAACTGGTTCTCAAACAATAAAAATTAAAGAATCAAATGGAGATAGATAGCAGCATAAAAAGTAAGAAAATCATGAGTGAAACTGTTTTCTTTTGGTTGTAACTTTAAGGGAAAGCGTTTTTACTTTCTTTGCATGTTTCTACATGCTGGCACACTTAATTCACATGTGTAGCAGCTTTCTTTATGTATCTTTTCAATATTAATCACCGGGCTATTTCCTAAAGGAGTTGAATGGAGTCAACTATATAAGGTTTAGTTTTATATTTCGATCCATCAGCGTTTTGGCTCAAGGCTTGAAACTGGGGAAAACTGATAACTCATTAACAACTGCACCAGAGTTATAAATTAAAGGTAATAATCATATTCTCAACTTTATCTACTCTTCTAGCACTCATTTAATAGCTTTTGAAGACAAAACCACTTAAAGAAAGATTACAAATAACTTCTTAAACTATAAGAGTACATAAATTTCAAAAGAAATTAAAGTTTGAACTTCAAGTGGAAAATCAAAACATCTAGTATTAGCTAGTGAAGATGAGCACCAGGTATGTTTAATGAAATGCATTCAAACCAATGGTATAAAGTAAAGTATGGGAAAAATCTTATATTCCGGGCTAGGCAGAACTTATTGAAATTTGGAGCAGACTAATGCTAATCATTCATTATGGCACACTCGGACTAAATCATAGCTTTTTCTTTGTCAACTAATATCTTCCCACGCAGAGAGTAAGCAACAGATGTAAAAAACACGGAAAGATGCTAAATCATGAAGCTATTTTATTTTGTAAAATTGTTTTTTTTTAAATAAAAAGATCATGGGGGTGAAACACTCCTACTAAATGTGAGAATGCTTAATACCAGAGATTGCTAATAGCAGAAAAGTGATATGGATAATGTGAACCAAATATCAGTACGAACAACTTGAGGTGTGTGGGAATGGATAAGGGGCCGTTTGTCAACTCCATTTGTTGATTCCCTCATGTTAGTCTGGGATTTGGAATAAAACTTTTGCTGAGCAAAGAAGAGTAGAGCAAAGAGGAACAAGATAGCAATGGTGGATAAAAAGAGCTCTAACACTTTGGTTAAAAAAGAGATACATTTCCGTTTTAAAGATTCAGTATCTATCAGATGCCAACCATGTTGCTAACTATACTTCCCGAAAGTTGGGGTATTTAGTTTTATTTCCCTTTAATCCCAAATTAAATGAATGGCCTATATATTTCCTGTTATAGCTTTACCAAGATTTTGGTGTTCATAATATTGTGCGAACTAAGCAGATTCAAGTGCTGGTAAAATATGGCAACTCATGAAGTACAATATGCAGACGAATCATGATGGTTTACATCACGATTTATTTACATCAAAGGACCTTTCCAATCAAATGGCTATGCTTAATTTAACAACTCTTAACTATTTGAAGTGTTGGGGCCCCTCTTGAGTATTTTATCAAACACAATGGATTCATAACAAACTCAAAAATCTGATTTCTTTCAAAGGAACTGCACATATCCTCTAGACAATGAAGGAAAGCAGGGAGAGGGGTAACTTACAGTGCAAAGGAGGCTTGGAAGAGCGGAAGCTTTTCCAAAGCTGCGCATAAACCCATAACTTACAGTGCAAAGGAGACTTTGAAGAGCGGAAGTTTTTCCAAAGCTGAAAGCAGGAGGTCGGGAGGATGAAGGTCGCACGGCATCCAGATGCAATGAATGATAATGAATTGAATAACATAATAATATGGGACATTAATGAGGAAGGAGATGAGTATACCCGAGAAAAAATCAGAGAAATAGAGGGAAAACAAACCTGGATGAGAGCAGAAACGACGGGAGCCAGCTGGGTTTGGGTTTGGTTAGGGCGCGCTACGATGCACGCTGAGAGGGGGTGAGGGGCGATTTGAGGCGAGGGGAGCTGAAGTTGTGCGAAGTGCGAACCAGGGCAAGTTGTAAACAAATAGACGGGAGCTAATAACCGGAGTTAAATGGAAAAACTCAATTCCTTCAAAAAGTACATACTTTGAAACACAATGTGTCATACAATAAAGCAAATGATTACACCAACACAAATTTCAACCCTAAAATGACCTAACCCTCATTCAGGATTATAAGCTTGTAAGAATTGTCCTCCTAAACTTTTATTTGGAGTCTATATTAGGTGTGGGATACCCTCAAGTAGTTCTAGGATATCCATTTCCATCAAACTTGCTATTTTTAGCAAGTTGGACCCAAAGTAACACTTGGCCTGGGCTGTCCAACCTTCCGTTTAGAAGAGTTATAAATATTCCTTTATATTGTATTGAGCACTTATATATAATACGATGGCCCAATAATGTATTTCGAAACTCATTCCTTATAATATGTGCCCAGACGATATCACGATTAATCATTTATCACATAAAGCATTAATTGCTTTACACATGGTTGATTATAGAGAATTCTACACATCAACTTTAAATTTCAAACCGTAGTTTCAAGTACGTCCTGTGCGGTGTCACAGGTTTGGTCTACTTTAATTTGGCCCGTTCCGATTCGGTCTAGTTCAGTATGGGACTGAAATCAATCCAAGTAAAAACATAACATCTGTCGACAATTTGGAAGGAATCTTATTATTTTTAATTATAAATGAATAAAAATTAATTATTTATGGATTATAATATATAAATAATATAAAATGAAATCTTCATGAAAAAATATTTCCTCCGTCCCATATTTCTTTTTGACTGTCCCAAAGAAGTTTGTCATTTCCATTTAAATTAATAAATATTTGGCTAAAATTATTTCTCTCTCCGCTGCACGAATCTCATCCACACGATTTTTACTTTATTATTCCACGTGCAAGTCAACATTGACCAAATTTTATAGGATGGAGGGAGTATATAAGAAAATTTCAGACAAGACCGAACCAGATCAGACTAAAACAGATCAAACTAGACCAACAAATTTCAATCCAAGTAAGAACATCCTAAGACCGGTCCGTAATCAGAATCCTAAAAAAAGTGGACTGAAGACCGTACCTATTGTGACACCGCACCCGGATGTACTTGAATTTGAAATTCGACTTGTATTTGAAATTCCTAGCAAATAAAATTCGTGTAATTAATTGGCATATTTAATTAATGTGCGATTAATTAAATTGTTTATCGGGTTCATTATATGAGAAGGGGCTACCAAATATTTAGTTGGGCCATCATAATAAATTATAGGAGCCCAATAAAGTGTCAACCAAAGTTGATAAAAATATTTGGACAACCCGAGTGCTATTTTGGCCCAACCTGCCAAAAATAGCAGGAATAATTGGGAGGGACTTCCTATACCCACTTGGGGTATCCTACAACCCACCTAGCCTCAAATAATGAGGGAGGGGGGACAACTAAATGTGCTCATGCGTACAAGGAGGAGAGGAAGTCTCCTAAGGACACAATGGCCATACCTCCATGTACCACTCTTGGCATCATTCTTATTGATTGAGAGAGAGCATCCCCTATCCCTTTGCATCCATTTTCGTCCAACCAAGAGGAGAAGCTCCAGAGAAGCTTGCTCACAAGAGCCCATAGCTTAAGGAAGCACAGGGAGGAAGAAACTCTAGAGAAGAGAGCTAGGTTGAGGTAAGAACCCAACTATTGCTATTTAACTAGTATTACTTGTATGATTTTTAAGAAATCATATGGTGGATCAAACATGGAGTTCTACACGTTTAAAAATGGGGAATAATGTTATATAGTGGTGGTATTTAACTTAGGAGAGTCGTGGAATTGATAGGAGTTGAAACCACCGGAAACCGCCAAGGAGAAGAAGCTGTTCGTAGTTGCAGACTACGAAAGCCGCCCGGCTTTGGTGAAAGCCGCCCGGCTTTTGGGCTACTGTCCAGGAATTTCACTTTTGATCGGCCTAGAACGGGGATCGATCGAGGGGCTTAGCAAAGGCAACTATTGTAGCACATCACAAGGTGAGGATGGCTGACTATATTGCTTATAATCTTTGGGTTAATTTCGTAGGATTACCTAAAGTAAATAAATGTGATTTTCATGGATTATTAATGATTAATAATGCCTAAATGAAAATATTGTTGTCAATGAATAAAGGAGCATAATATACAAATTTAAGGATAAATTGTGTATGATTATGTAATATGAGCATATTGGCTTGATGAAGGGATTAGTTATAAATATTGTGTTGAAATATAACTATAACTTCATATAAGGATATATGAGTGGTTAAAGGTTATATGTTGTATATTGATATGAACTATATTTTCAATGGAAAATTAGTTTGGAAATTGTCTATATGACTTTGAATTGAAAATGAGTTTTGTTGGAATTTATCCGACTAGTATTATGATACTAGTCGGGGTTTTGGAATGGAATATGTTAGAATTGATCCAAGGTTTGGATTGTAAATTGTTGAGCCTTAAGTAGTCTTAAGAGATACTAAGGTGGATAAGTGATGCTAGGGGTAGGCCTTAAGGGATACCCAAGATAAAGAGAATAATAAATTGATCCTAGGAATAGGATTGGCCTACGGGTGTATTCGGTAGTCTTTAAGGATTAGCCGATAGAGTATTGGTAATTAGTAAGGACCATGGCCCTTCCCGACTCTAGAGAGCGGGGTTGGATAGCATGGACTTACATCGTGATCACGGGTTAGGGTGGAATCCGAACCGGAGACCTTACGAGGCTCCCGACAGCGGTAACACATAAGATAGGACCCCGAATGGACCTTACCTTCCTACGGGACGATGGGTATGAGTTCAGGGGCGGGATGTTGGACTCCGGCCCGGGGACCCGGTGAGGCCTCGGAGAGCGGTGACAAGTCTCGTAAAGGATGATAAGACCTACGGGCGGTGTCGTGCTAACGACGGGTATAATGAAATATATGAAATGGGCCGTGTGCCGACAAATAAATAAATTTACTTATTATAGAGATAATAAGTGGGAAATATAAATTATTATTTATATTATGATATCACCCTATTTTGAGGGTCTTAGAAATTGAAACATTGATTATACTTGGTATAGTTGTCATTGTACTTGTCAAATGCTTCCAAGTACTGACCTCCCCTTCACGGGGGAGGCCACCTCACAGTTTCAGGTAGGGAGTAGAGCTTGCTACCAGTGCCCGTTGCCTCGGGAAGATCTAGGAAGGAAGACGTGGTTCGTGCTTCCTCCGTCTCTATTTTAAAAACATTTCAATTAATGCTCATGGATATTTTTGAATGATTATTGGGGCTTGTATGCCCATGTTTGCCGGAGTGTGGCATAAACACTTGTATTAAACGTTTCCGCTGATTTCAATTGATTATTTTACATTATGTTTGTTTATGGATGTACTATTGTGAATGATATTCAAGACGCCTAGTATAGTATGGATGAGTTGGACTGCGGTTGACTATTCGTACTGTACGGCGGGTTGTTGACGTGTCCGGTAGGTCCGGGGCGTGACAATTTAATTGGTATCAGAGCCTTAGTCCGTAAACTTCATAATGAAGCTTCAAAATCCCTTTTGAAAATGATTATTGCAAACCATGAGCATAAAGATTTGTACTTATGGAACTTTTGGTACTTGAGTTGCAAAGTCTCTAATTGTTAAGATGGTACCCTTAACAATTGGTATGGCGGCGATTTGAGCCAAAAGATGTCTTTAAGTACCTATCCGTCACTTGACATTTGATACGAGTCTAATGGCTCATTCTAAACTTCTTTCAGAAATGGAGCCAATTGGGAGAATCACTAGGAGGAACCCGACGGGCCGTGTACCGGGTGGATCCGAACGCGGCAGCCGGGGGTCCACTAGGGTGTCAAGGGGAAGGGGCCGTGGAGGCCAACAACAAACCGTGAGCGATGGCCACGTCGACACGGAGAGTGAGACTTATTGGTCCTATGAGGACTCAACCTATAGACCGGAAACCGAGCCGGTGGAGACCCCTTATGAAGGGGATGATGATGATGTTAGTGACGAGGAGCAAGATGACTCCTTGGCAAGAATTGAGGCGCTGCTCCAACAATACCACCGAGAGCGCGAGGAGAGGAGGGAACGCCGAAGGCGCCGGGCGGGGCAACCTTCGGGTATGGCTTCAAGAGGAGGAAGCCACAATGCATCTAGAGTCCATGTGGAACCACATGGAGGCCGAAATGATGGAGGTCCAACCATAAGGATCTCCAAGTTTATCAAGGAAGCAAGAGACTTGGGGTGCAAACCCTTTGACGGGACCAGAGACATTTCGGTTGCCGCTCAATGGATCAAGAGGTTGAATGAAGCAGCCCTTGACATGCAAATCACGCCCAACCTTAAACTGAGAATAGCGGTAAGGTTGCTTGAGGGGATGGCATCCAAATGGTGGGATGGAACCAAGAGCAAGTATGGCGAGGGTGTCGTTTGGGAGGACTTCCAACGGGAGTTCTTTGCCCAATATTACTCCGACTTCGAGGTGAACAAGAAGGTGAGGGAATATACCCTCCTAACTCAAGGGGGTAACATGACGGTGAAGGAACTTGAGTACAAGTTTCGGGACCTTGCCGACTACATACCGGAGTACGCTTGTGATGAGAACCGGATGGTGAACCACTTTTGGGATGCCCTAGACTTGGAGATACGTGATAGGGCAACACAATTGCCTAACATGACCTTCGCCCAAGTGGTAGACCAAGCCTTGAAGGGCGAAAAACAGTGGGAAGAAAGGAAGAAAAGAGACGCCGAGGAGGCGAAGAAAAGAAAATGGGAGAACCATGGCCCCCAAGGTTCTAACAAGAAGGGGAACCACGGGGGAGGTAGCTCATTTAGAACCCCTGCACCACCATCGAAGGGAAACCAAGGCCCAACCGGGCAAAGCTCGAGGTCACAAAACTCGGGAGTACCAAGGTGCAGCAACTGCAAGAAGCTTCACCAAGGCAAGTGCCGTGATCCCCCGAGATGCTATCAATGCGGGGAGGTCGGGCACATGAAGGTGAGTTGCCCACAACTTGGGCGAGCCGTGGGTGCCGGACCAAGCAGTGGAACCATGGTGAGCAGGAACCGAACGGGAGCACCGAGTGCAAGCATGGGGCACGGTGGAGCTAGCACAAGCAATGCACCGTCCGTTAATCAAGGGAGGACCCAAGCGAGGGTCTATGCGATTACGGAGGCCGATGCACGTGCTAACCCGGACTCCGTTGCGGGTAAATTCATGAACATTTGATGTTAATTTCTTGTAAACCTTTTAAATGTTGAAATGTATAAGTTATATGGCCAACCCAGCCTGTTTAAAGTTCAAAGGAGTGGACAGATATCTGCCTGGGGCGAAAGCCGCCCGGCTTTGACGAACGTCGCCCGACGTTTGTCTATGGTTTATTACATAAATCCTACGGCGACCATAAGCCGCCCGATGTTGACGAAAGCCGCCCGGCTTTCGTAGAGGATTTTTGTTAAAATCATTCGGCGGAGGAAAACCGGCCGAGTTTCGTAAAAACCGGCCGGCTTGTGTTCAGGCATCTCCGGTGTGAGGCACTGTTAACGAAAACCGGCCGGCATTCGTAAGAACCGGCCGGCTTTTAGGAATTAAAATTGGGAATTCTTTCGGCGACCGAAAACCGGCCGGCTTTGGCAAAAAACGGCCGGCTTACGTAACCCTTCTTGCCGAGCCGAAGACCAAGGTACGAAAACCGGCCGGCTTTCACGAAAAGCGGCCGGCTTTCACTTATTGGTGCACGGTGTTGGTTTTTGGGTGGAAACCGGGATGGAATCGGGATGGGGCGTTAGATGACGATCATCCAAACCATAGCCGGGGTACTCTTTTACCTAAGAAATGAGTCTAATAAGTGGGGAGTGTGTCTTACATTGCTTATGAATGTAGGAACACTAAAGATTAACGGGAGAGACGCAAGAATCCTCATTGACACCGGGGCGCAACGATCATTCGTGAGTGAGGCGTTTGCCGGGGGATTCAAAGAACCGCTTGTACCGATGGCTCAAGCCCTATTGGTATCCACACCTCTAGGGGAAGACATCGAGAGAGATAGCCACTATCCATCGTGTGAGGTGGAAGTGGAGGGCCAAAACTTGACGTGTGATTTCGTACCGCTGAGTATAATTGAATTCGATGCAATCCTGGGGATGGATTGGCTTGAGAAACATCATGCTAGGGTCGATTGCTACACAAAGATACTTGAACTCGAAGGCGATGAAGGGGTAACCTTACGCTTCGAGGGGGATCGGGCCAAATCCAATAGTTGTATCATATCCGCCGTAAGAGCTAGGAGTATGATGAGAAAGGGTTGCCACGCATATCTAGCATACGTGGTAGACAAAACAAAAGAAGAGGCGAGCATTGATGATGTGAGGGTGGTATGCAAGTATCCGGATGTCTTTCCAAAGGACTTACCGGGACTTCCACCCGATAGGGAGATTGAATTTGTGATCGAGGTCGAGCCCGGCACCAAACCAATCTCCATACCGCCATACCGAATGGCACCCGCAGAACTTAACGAGTTGAAAACCCAATTGCAAGAGCTTTTGGATAACGGTTTCATTAGACCAAGCCACTCCCCGTGGGGAGCACCGGTTCTTTTCGTGAAAAAGAAAGATGGGACACTTCGAATGTGCATTGACTATCGTCAACTGAACAAGGTCACAATCAAGAATAGGTATCCTTTGCCTAGGATTGATGACTTGTTTGACCAACTACGAGGAGCAACTGTGTTCTCGAAGATTGACTTGAGGTCGGGGTACCATCAATTGAAGATCAAAGAGGATGACATACCGAAGAGTGCCTTCCGCACTAGGTATGGACATTTTGAGTTCCTTGTTATGTCGTTTGGGTTAACAAACGCCCCGGCGGCATTCATGGACTTGATGAACCGAGTATTCCACAAATACTTGGACCGATTCGTGATAGTGTTCATAGATGACATCTTGATCTACTCAAAAAGCGAGGAAGAGCATGAGGAGCACTTGATACTCGTTCTTGAGACGCTACGGGAGAAGCAACTCTATGCCAAGTTTTCTAAATGTGAATTTTGGCTTAAGGAGATTGGCTTTCTCGGGCATGTGGTTTCGGGATCGGGAATTGCTGTGGATAACAAGAAGATAGAAGCCATTACCGAATGGGAGAGGCCAAAGAATGTCAAGGAAATTCGTAGTTTCCTTGGACTGGCAGGCTACTACAGGAAGTTCGTGGAGAAGTTCTCTGTTTTGGCATCGCCATTGACAAAGCTCACTCGAAAAGGAGCTAAGTTTGTATGGGATGACAAATGTGAGAAGGGATTCACGGAATTAAAGAAGAGATTGACCGAGGCACCGGTACTTGCCTTACCCAAACAGGGTATGGGGTACGATGTCTATAGTGATGCTAGCATCCAAGGGTTTGGATGTGTGTTGATGCAAATGGGGAGGGTAATTGCCTATGCTTCACGACAATTGAAGAAACATGAGGTAAATTATCCTACTCATGATTTAGAGCTGGGGGCAGTGGTATTTGCACTGAAGATTTGGAGACATTATCTCTACGGGGAGACGTGTCATATATACACTGACCATAAGAGTTTGAAATACGTGTTCACTCAGAAAGAGCTGAACATGAGACAGAGGCGATGGATGGAGTTGATAAAAGACTACCATCTTATCATTGAGTACCACCCAGGCAAGGCCAATGTGGTGGCAGATGCCTTGAGCCGGAAGAGCTCATCTGGGGCATTGATAGCTAATTTGAGGGCTTTAAGAGCCCAACTGGAGGTATCCAGCAATGGAGCCTTATTGGCACGGTTTGAGGTGAGACCTACTTTAATTGATGAGATCAAGAAGGGTCAGGAAACTGACGAGGAAATCATGAGGATCCGGGAGCGCATGCAAGCGGGACCAGTGGAGGACTTCAGGGAAAGAGATGATGGTCTCTTACTATTTCGTGAGCGAGTGTGTGTGCCGGCAGATGATGAGCTCCGAAAGTCCATCTTAGAGGAAGCTCATTCATCGGCTTACGCCATGCACCCGGGGGGCACGAAGATGTACCGTGACTTGAAAGAGAGTTACTGGTGGTCTGGTATGAAGAGAGAAATAGCCGAGTACATCAGTAGATGCCTTACTTGTCAGCAAGTTAAGGCAGAACATCAGCATCCAGCTGGGTTATTGCAGCCACTTTCCATTCCAGAATGGAAATGGGAGCACGTGACCATGGATTTTGTGGTAGGACTGCCACGGACCGTGAGGAATTATGATGCGGTATGGGTTGTGGTTGATAGGCTCACGAAGAGTGCACATTTTCTACCTATCAACACTACCTATGCACTTGAGAGGTTAGCCAAGTTGTATGTGGATGAGATCGTGAGGCTACATGGGGTTCCTATAACCATTGTGTCCGACAGGGATCCACGATTCACATCACGATTTTGGCCGAAGTTCCAAGAGTCCATGGGAACGAAGTTGAAGTTCAGTACTGCTTTTCATCCTCAGACAGATGGGCAATCCGAGAGGGTTATACAGATCTTGGAGGATATGTTGAGGGCTTGTGCTTTGGAGTTCCAAGGAAGTTGGGACAACCATTTAGCACTTGTTGAGTTTGCCTATAACAACAGTTATCAGGCAAGTATCGGCATGCCTCCATACGAGGCATTGTATGGGAGGAAATGTCGTACACCGTTATGTTGGGATGAAGTGGGCATGGCCAAGCTTGAAAGCACGGAATTGGTGGAGATCACCAAGTCAAAGGTAAAGATGATTCGCGAGAGGCTTAAGGCGGCCCAGGATAGACAGAAGAGCTATGCCGATAAGCGCCGGAGAGCCTTAGAGTTTAAGGTGGGAGATGAGGTATTCTTGAAAGTTTCACCTTGGAAGGGAATCATCCGATTTCAAAGCCGAGGGAAACTCAACCCACGCTACATAGGGCCATTTGTGATTCTTGAAAGAATTGGGGCCGTAGCATACCGATTGCAGTTGACTCCAGAATTGGAGAAGATACATAACGTGTTCCACGTGTCTATGCTAAAGAAATATGTGCCGGATCCGTCTCACGTGTTAGAGAAACCACCTGTGGAAATACGTGAGGACTTAAACTATGCCGTACGGCCGGTGAGGATACTTGATAGGCAAGTAAAGAAGCTCAGAAGCAAGAAAGTTCCAATGGTTAAGATCCTTTGGAAAAGTGACCGAGTTGAAGAAGAAACTTGGGAAACAGAAGCCTTGATGAAGGAACAGTATGCATTTCTTTTTGAATAAGCATTTGTGAATTTCGGGGACGAAATTCCCGTTAAGGGGGGGTGAACTTGTGACACCGCACCCGGATGTACTTGAATTTGAAATTCGACTTGTATTTGAAATTCCTAGCAAATAAAATTCGTGTAATTAATTGGCATATTTAATTAATGTGCGATTAATTAAATTGTTTATCGGGTTCATTATATGAGAAGGGGCTACCAAATATTTAGTTGGGCCATCATAATAAATTATAGGAGCCCAATAAAGTGTCAACCAAAGTTGATAAAAATATTTGGACAACCCGAGTGCTATTTTGGCCCAACCTGCCAAAAATAGCAGGAATAATTGGGAGGGACTTCCTATACCCACTTGGGGTATCCTACAACCCACCTAGCCTCAAATAATGAGGGAGGGGGGACAACTAAATGTGCTCATGCGTACAAGGAGGAGAGGAAGTCTCCTAAGGACACAATGGCCATACCTCCATGTACCACTCTTGGCATCATTCTTATTGATTGAGAGAGAGCATCCCCTATCCCTTTGCATCCATTTTCGTCCAACCAAGAGGAGAAGCTCCAGAGAAGCTTGCTCACAAGAGCCCATAGCTTAAGGAAGCACAGGGAGGAAGAAACTCTAGAGAAGAGAGCTAGGTTGAGGTAAGAACCCAACTATTGCTATTTAACTAGTATTACTTGTATGATTTTTAAGAAATCATATGGTGGATCAAACATGGAGTTCTACACGTTTAAAAATGGGGAATAATGTTATATAGTGGTGGTATTTAACTTAGGAGAGTCGTGGAATTGATAGGAGTTGAAACCACCGGAAACCGCCAAGGAGAAGAAGCTGTTCGTAGTTGCAGACTACGAAAGCCGCCCGGCTTTGGTGAAAGCCGCCCGGCTTTTGGGCTACTGTCCAGGAATTTCACTTTTGATCGGCCTAGAACGGGGATCGATCGAGGGGCTTAGCAAAGGCAACTATTGTAGCACATCACAAGGTGAGGATGGCTGACTATATTGCTTATAATCTTTGGGTTAATTTCGTAGGATTACCTAAAGTAAATAAATGTGATTTTCATGGATTATTAATGATTAATAATGCCTAAATGAAAATATTGTTGTCAATGAATAAAGGAGCATAATATACAAATTTAAGGATAAATTGTGTATGATTATGTAATATGAGCATATTGGCTTGATGAAGGGATTAGTTATAAATATTGTGTTGAAATATAACTATAACTTCATATAAGGATATATGAGTGGTTAAAGGTTATATGTTGTATATTGATATGAACTATATTTTCAATGGAAAATTAGTTTGGAAATTGTCTATATGACTTTGAATTGAAAATGAGTTTTGTTGGAATTTATCCGACTAGTATTATGATACTAGTCGGGGTTTTGGAATGGAATATGTTAGAATTGATCCAAGGTTTGGATTGTAAATTGTTGAG